GCGGAGGCTACAGCACGTCGTATCCCAGCTGGTCAACCTGTTCCCTCTTTAGTTACAAGAATCTAGAAGAGGATATGGGTTAGTCGGTCGGGCGTGACGAAAGGGGTGCGGATGGGCACGTGGAAGGCATCGAGCTAAACCGGAACTGATTCGTCTATAAGCGATTAAGAGGGGTTAACTCAATCATCTCCGAATTGCATATTTACGTAGTCAGGAGCTGATTGAACGCAAAAGCGCTATGGTGCTAGGGGGAGGACTACTGTGCAAGTGTTTCTATGAATGGGCGTTTGCGCCATTCATTCTCGATAGAACTGAACGTAGTGCCCATCCACTTTGAAAAATACTTTAATTTTTATTGTAGTCGGAATTGTAGTGGTGCTTGTACTCAGTAGTCGTTTAAACAATGAACTGTATAGAAAGCAATCGCGCAAGTTTTGCTGCCTTCAGACACTGACAATTAATTGGCGTTTTTGCTGCCCAGACACTGACACCAATTAATTGGCCGGAAGGGTGGACGGTTTAATTGATTTAGCACGAGCATCGATAATGCAGTGGTGAAAGGTGGGATGTCTGCTGTAGCCACTGCGCTTCATACCCAATAAAGCCCACAAGGGAACATTTCCAGCTTCAATTGGTCCAATATAACATGCGCTATGCACTGGACTTCCACACAAAACTTCAAAGGCATGGGAACCAATAGGGTTAACCATGCAAGGTTTCATGAGCCTAATCGACTAAGCCAATCCGGTTTGTTTTGTCATCTTGCCCAGGCAATTTTGATTCAAGGAACTGATCGGTCGGAAAAACTGGCTAGCTCCATGCCCATCCCCGCCCCCCCCCCCATCGCAGCATTTTGAATTTTTCTCGGTGTCTTGTGGGATGTCCGAAGGATGTCCCAAAATCTGCAGGGATTTTCGCCCAGTTTTGTCTGACGCATCCAGTTTAGCAAAAAAAGTGCCGGGCGATCAGGGCCAGAGGTGAATAATCTACACCAAAGAATGTAAAAACGGCAATCTATATCTTTCGCTTCCTCAACGTTAATTCTAACTTCGATTTGGTGGAGCCACAAAAAATTCATATCCGTCCTACTAGACAAGGCTTCCTCAAATCACGCCTTAATCGGTGATTCCGGCTTGATATCAACTCGCTCACTCAAATTGATGACTTGCCTGTTGGACAAGCAGGCCACGTAAGTGATATTTGTACCCAGAGCACGTCATACGTTGAGGACCCCCCCCCAAGACAGGATCCTATCTGGTTGCCTTCCCCTGTGAGCGACAGCTTTCTGCGAAAAAAGGAGAATTTCATAGAAGAGAATTTCATAGAAAGTGGGGAAAAAGTGGTAAGGAGTGAGAGTACTCAGAAAGACCGCAGGTGGGAGTGGGGTGGGGAAAAGCTTCGCACGAAAATTAAAAATTCCGCTAAGAGCAGTGTTTTGCAGAAACCTCCCCCCCAACGAGAGTATCTTCCCCTAGCTAAAAAATAATTTCAGGTTTAATTACTGCAAAAACATGAACTTACCTTTCGAAATGATTTCAGGGCATTCTTCTTCGTGGTGAGGAAAGCGTGAAAGGCTATCGTGAAGTTTTGTCAAAGATTCACTACTTCAACACAAGACCGGACACCTACAGTAAGCGCATCTACACCGTACAATGCGCCATGCTTAAAGGACAAGTGCTCAGCAACGAACTCGTGATTACGGTAGGTTTTGTAGCTGATTGACATTTTCGTTCGCATTTCTGTTCATGAGTTTCTGCTCTTTCTCTTTTGCCTGTCTCTCTTTTCTCTCTTAATTGCAGCTTCAGTTATCGATTCCCTAGAAAGGGATTAATAGTGTAAGGAGAGTGAAGCGCTATCACATGCACTGGAAGGGCAAGAGTGTGTTGCCGTGTCTCACATTTTTTGGTGCTTTGCAATCCATCGCCCACGCCAGACAAGTATTCAGACAGCGCATTAGCCTGCCCCCAGTTGTTTTCCTTCCTCCTGACAGCTTTCTGATAGGCTGTCGTGGTGTTGATATAGAGGCATGAGTGTGTTCAATGATCGGGGGCTGAATTAGTCCTCAGTGGCCACTTCAACCCTTCACATCGCAACTTCAAGAATTTCTCAGAAGCGAGCTGCAATTCGCATGCACGGCACGAGGCGCTTCAGGTGGGCAAATCTTCCTTCCCGACTTGGAGAAAGCATTTTCTTGGGCCAATTGGAACCCCTTCCCCTTCATCGTGAGTTCACGCTCGGCGCAGTTCGGCGATGAGGGAACATTTTGCACTTTTGCTCTTTCTCGTCGACGAACGCACTTTCTCGTCGACGGTATCCAGTAGAGCTATTTTATGAGCTCAAAAGAGTTGGCAGGTTTTACCTACGGTGGCTCGACGAGCTTGCTCCAGCTTCACAAGAGTCCACAGGATTCACCAGAGTGAGACTTGTAAACCAGAATTAGTGAAGCAGCAAAATTGTGCAAGATCCCCCGTCGCCAAACTGCCCCCGCGCTTTGGGCGTCGTGCTTTCTCAGCGACGCACGTATTGGTGGCAATCTGGCTCTTCACTTTCCCCTCGTCATATATTCAGTTTTCAATGAAGACGTGGATTTGGAGAAAATGTGAAGGCTGGCTTCAGCCCGTAAACAATCATGGCATATAAATGATGAGAAGCGGTCATAAAGAGGATTTCAATGAGGTTGATGCAACGGCGAAGCCTGAAGCAGAAGAAATGGAGACCCTTTGCAAGAGCAGGGATCGAACTATGCGGCGCTTCAGCGACTTCAGCGTAAAAAACTAGTCTCCTATGAACGCTTGGATCCTATTTTCACCAGAGTCAGGAGCTCCAGGACCAGAGGGGATCGGCAATCGACAGAAGAAGTAATCCTCCGCTAACCTGAGGACCCTCCTCTTAAGAAACATGCGGAGAACTTGGAAGAGCAGGGCATGTCCTGCCACTGGAGAAGACTCCTCTCTCTCCCTGCTCTGATACGACTCACTCCTTTTCCCATCCTACCTACCACTTCCTTAGATTTTCCCAACTTCCTACCACTTTTTCCAGTTTTTCCGAAAGCTCCCGAGAGTTTCTAGTTTTTCCCCAGAACTTTGCTGTCGAGCGGAGGGGAGGGGGGTCATCATCAACCAACTAGTAGTTTTAGCTATCAGAAATGGTGGTTATGCAGAACTTTAGCGCGCCACCAACTAGGAGAGGGGGGACCAACAGAGCCAGTAGAGCATATTGATAGTTGAGGGATTTGGTCGAAACCCGTACGGCCTGCCCCGTCAAAAGGTGGGGGGCGCGCCTTTTTTGGGATACGACCCCCTCTAGTTCCCTCCTCATTGAGCTGTCGAGGGAGGGGTGGGGAAAGGGGTACATAGCACAAGTAAAACAGGAAAAAAACTGGGCTGGCAAATACGACCTTCCCGCTTCCCCTAACAACGACAGAATACGACTACCCCTCGTCCTTTTGATAGCACACGTAAGAGCAAGACAATCAGCTAATGCAAAAAAAAACTTTTTTCGAACCTACTACACCAAATACACCCCTCCCCACCCCTGCGAACAAGTACGATCCTGCTCCCCCTGGGGATTCCCTAGCGTACGACGTGGTCTGGCTGGCAGTATTCGGGTATAACCTCCAGAGGAAGAATTGGTCTCCTGGTAGCGCGACGGCTCTATTGAAGCCCGCTGGAGCGTCAGCTGCTTCTGACGTAATCGGATTATTAGTGCGTGGTTCATTCGTGGAATTAATAAACTTCACAAGTATGTTATTGTTTCATACTAAGTAATTCAGTCGGAACGCGAATGATTGCCTCAGGGCATGCCAGTGCGCCAGAAGTTTTTCAGAGAACTCGACGGTGCCGGAGTATTCATTGCTCTGTTTCAGCTGCCTACTGCGGGTGACTTGATTCCCATCGATTGTCGTTTTCTGTCATTTCGCTTGCACCCCCTCTCGTCGACGTAATTGAAAACCACCCGAGCACTTATCGTGAAATTACCATCTTCACTGACGCCCTGACGCTTCACCTCCCCTCCCCTTCCCGTTTTTTTTGCGCAGCTTATCTTTGCCATTCCTGCGATATTGCAGGTCTCTAGGTCCTCGCAGGATTCGCTGATACCGTAATCGGCTAAGGATTATCGAGGTGTAAAAGTATACTAGTATGCACTTTGGACTTTTATGATGTTCCCATCGCGTGTGTTCTTCAGCCTTCGGAAGTACTCGCCACGCGGTTTCCCCAGGGTCCCGCTAGGCGATTTTCGGCGCGAATAAATCATGTGTAATTCTAGTCGTACTCACTAACGAGCCGCGACAATCATAACACGTTTTCCAGTAGAGCTTTTCAGCCGCTGCTCTCGCCACTCGGCAGCCGCCCCCGATTTCCCCCTGGGCGATAACCGCCAACGAGCGCACGAACGAAAAGCCGACAATTAAGCACTTGCAGTGAGTTGCAGTAACGCTCACGGCCACTTCGTGTGCAAGCATATGAACCACCAACCCGTAAATGCTGGCCTAGTCCCAGTTTATGCCCGCTCTAGGGCCGATAATCTCAGCTCTCAGCCACATGACTACGTGCTGCACTTTCCCCCGCATCCCCTCAATTTCTCCGCTCAAAATCTTATGTGAGCGAAGGCGGAGCAGCGTTGCCAAGCGCCGTTCCTGATCCGCACTCCGTGCCCGATTCCGCTTTATCTGTCCTAGCTCTCAGCCACATTTCTTCATCTCGTGGGCGCGTTCCACACTTGTGTCGCAGCTGGCCGATTGATGAGGCCAATCGTAGGCATTTGTTGTCGCGTCCGTCGGAATTTTTCCTGTTGTTCAGAGGTCTGTCATCGATTATCCGCTGGCCTTTGGCTTCCGCTCGGCCAGTTCACTCCCGTCCAAGTGCTTGATATAGTCGCCTCACTGCTCAGTCTGCTCCTTCAGCACTTATCTGATTCACACTTGGCGCCTCATTTCCTTTTGGCGTGCAGCTGTCCACTTCTCGGCCGTTTGGGTTTTTCATGATAGTTTGCATTTGCAGATGACGATCAGGCCGTCAACTTCTGATGCTCCGGCTGCATCCATCTCATCTACAGAGAATTTCGACAGCTTGGACATGCTCGAGAGGCATTTCGAGCCGTCCTTCGACCAAATCGGCAATAATCGCCTGCAGAACATTCTCGAAATGGACCTACCCCGACCGAAGGCGCTCCTTTCACATCACGGTTACGAAGTGGGACAAGGCGCTATCGCAGGTAATAGAGGTCTTTTCCTTTCTACACTTTTCTTGCCCACAATTATTACCATATTGTAATGCCTCATGTTTTAAGGTGGCGCAGTTGCCGTTGTTGTCGTCATTTGCGTCGGATTTCTTCTTGTACTTCTTGTGATTGGAGTGCTGAAAATGAGAGATACGCCCTTACCGCGTCGACGAAAGAACAAACGACAGGTTCCGTGCACTTACACCTCTTTAGCATAGCAGCTGTTTTCAGAGAGTTTTTCCAGGATGACGGTATGGCTTGGGATGATTCTGGAATGAATATCACCGTGAATCCATTGGATGATGTGGAGAAGCATGTCGTCGAGGATGAGTTCAGCGAGGACGACGAAAGTACTGATGGAGAGGAAAGGTGAGCAGAGTCACATGCAGGGTTCCTGCTCAAATGAAGATTTTGAAAGTGACAAGCAGTGGCTGGAAAGGATAAAACAGTGGAGGCGTTATGCTCAGAGCACGTTGCGCGCTTTTGAATACAATGGGGGAGGCGTGTTCGGTCGCTGGAGGGAGGGGGTCGTATTTGGTGTGGAAAAAATTTTTTTATAGTAGATTGCTCTCTCTCATGCGCCCAGTTCACTGCGTCGTGGGACTCTCATCGGATGAGGGAAGGGTAGTTTGCTCGCATGAAAAGGTAAAGTCCGGTTGAAGTCAAAATAAATTTTCGGGTCAAGTGTGCTGTTCCTTCTTGTTCGTGACACCGTTTGAAAAACCAGCGGTTTTTTGGTGGCGACTTCCTCTGCCCTGCTCACCGGCAAAGTTTTGGGCAAAAACTGGAAAATCTTGTCAAAGGTGTAAGGAAGTTGAGAAACTCAAGAAGATCAAAGCTAGGATTGGAATGGGAGGTCGTACCGGAGGAGGAGGAAGTTTGAGGAGCGGAAACTCGTATGCAGTAAAAATTCTCCCCAGCGCGGGGAGCGCCCTGAAGTGCATATCTTCTTTCTATAATGTTCTAGAAAACAACTCTATTGCCCTTTCTGATCCCACGTTAAGTAATTTGGTTGAAGGCTTCACATCCGTGGATTGCTTGACGGCCTCCAGGACCCGACAGGTGCATTTTTTGCATTTCGTATCTGCAGTGCACCTTGTGCTCGGCTTTGAGCCAGCGACTCCAGGGCGCGCGTCACGCTTCATAGATGTTACAGTCAGGGACTGAACCACCCTTCAGAACAAGTTTTTCGCGAACTTGGTAGTTTGAGATGTTTTGACTCTGGGATCTATGGCTCGAAATCTAGCTGTTTTCGCGTAAAGCGGGTGTGCTTTTCGTGTTCAAAGCTCAAACTGCTCCCGGGAGAAAACCTTTGTGGCCAAGTGTATCCCCGTGGACACATTTCAATAAAACTGCAGTCTGAACTTTGAAAAAAAGGAGAGAGTACCGCATGTCTTGAGGCTGACACACTCTCCTCGAGTTTCTTAGGCCAGTTGATTACCGTAATTCGAGACGTAGATGTATTCACATTTCTCAGAGCGTGTGCGTGAACCATATGCACGCGGTCATGAATGGATATGGCAATAAAAGTGGAGTACCCACATTTCCGCAGTTCTTATTTAATGGCAGATAATCCCAGCACCAAAATGCCTCGTCCAGTCATGTCTCAGTGATTTCTCTCTCCTCATAGGGCATCCACTCCCACTTTATAATGAGAGGGGAAGGTGGGTTAGCTTTCCGCTTACAGTACTTGGCTTAGTTGTTCAAAAAAAATAGAGCTTATCGCCATTCACCATTTTTTTCACAAGGCACGCGTCCCATTTCCATTCAGATGTGGCACGCACTCTAGTCCCATTCTTAGAGGTTATTGAATGCGTATGGCCTACACGAAGCCCCATGTAAAGGTATGTAAAAGCTGAAAGGCTAGTCGCGCGTGCGTGGAAACTAAGACCACTTACCACTTCACCACCTCCGAGCTGTTCAGAAAAGAACGACAAAAACGCGAATTTCGCGTTTTTTTTTGCAAAAACACGTTTTTATCAAAGTTTCCTATGGAACACCTTATGCGCTGAGGATCAGCTCGCTACTCTGCCTGATGAATGATCCTCGCTGTGCGAATCCCCCTCCCCTCAGAGTTGTCGTGTTCGACTCCACAGCATATTTTTTTTATTCCACGTTCACGTTGAGGAGGCTGAGGTGATTAAGTGGCAAGTGGCTCGTTTACCGGGCGCACCGTCTGGGGTCCCACCCATGCCAACCAAGCATTCAACCCTCCGGAAATCTACATGGTGCGCAAGACTTCGTCTTGAGATATAGAACACTGACAGTATAAGTCAGCTGGTCCTGCAAGCAGGTGTCATGGCCGCTACCATTCGGAAAGAAAGTAGAAATTCAAGCTGCATCCAAAAAAGGTATGGTCAAGCTAGGGCTTCATCCTTCATCCCTTACTTCTCTAGTGGGCGGCGCGGCGAAACTACTGTCTGATATCTGCTAGGTGGCTGGAGTCCTACCGGAGAAGGGATTTTGAGGGTTGAAGGGAGTGGATATCACCGCCATTTCACCCGAAATTGTACACTGATTTCGATGGATGCAGTGCGCAGAGCTGATTCCAATCGTACAAGGTGTTCTACAGGAAAAAGTAGAAAGCGCATTTTGCAAAAAAAAAATCATTTTTTCGAGCTGTACTGTCCCACACATGTTACCAAATTAGTTTAATTGTCGTATTGATCGCTTCGATTGAATGCCAGTAAAGGAGTTTACCAACGGCAACGGTTGCAGTGTATCTAAGGAGAGTAAAGGGGCAATAATGTAGCATGAGTGGAAATAGGGGGAGCGGGCAAAAGCAGTTGAGAGGCTTGCGGCGGCGCCACGTCACGTCTGCTCTTGTCTGTCTTGCCACGTCCTTTCGGAGCCTCAGAATGGGTATATACGCCAATTTCCTATCCACTCAAAGGGCACAGGCATAAAACAGCAGAATCGACCCGTCGTGTTCTCCTCTCAACTATCTTCGCCCCAGAGAGGTCACCGCTCTTCCTCTCCTCGCTTGTGACAGGGCGTGTAGGGGAAGTCCCGGTAGAGCGTTCAGAGGAGTATGGAAACGTTCGCGCCGTGCGGGCAAGGGCCAATACTTGTATATCCACTTTCTGCTGTTGCATAGTCTCAACGAGAAATGACGAAATGTACTTAGAGAATTAGGAGCTAAGAGGGAACAACACATCACTCCGTTTTTATATCCTCGAAATTGACTCTTATTAGCAGCCTTGCTCTCTCTAGTGCAATTTTCCTGGTCAATAAAAACGAATAAAGCGTTCGGCATTCACCAGAATTTTTTGAGGTTTGCCACATATTCTTATTCTATTCAGAATAGTAGCGGCTTTTGAACTCCATTTGGTCAGGCTGACATGTACAACTCGGTATTCTATCCCCCAAACGGATCTGTTTCCTTTTGAAGACAAACTCTTAAACAGACCTCCTTGAATCCTGGTTATTGCCGTGAGTGGGGAAAATAGGTCCGCAACCGCAGTAGCGTGCCACTTTTTCCAGTCAGACGAGAACGGAGCTGGTGGGAAGTGGGGTTGTATGTCTGGGTGCCTCTCCATCGCGCTGCTGCACCGCAACCACAAGCCTAACCTTAACCAAACGCGCTACTTGTCTGCGACCTCTCACTTCTGGTTGTTCTTTATCGCCGAATGCGTGTTTTGCCGCGGGATTCCGTCTTCGTCTTGAATGCTGTGTGCT